TAAATAAATATAAATAAGCTTTGTACAAACGAACATTGAGTTATTTATTGTGTGCACCTGTTTGCTTACAACAATACTCCTAAATAGTCAATAATATATCAAGTGTATACCTATGACTAAAATAAAAAGTCTCATACAACACATGTACTTGGCGGTTAGCCTAATTACGATGATACAATTATACTGAATTATGACCAAAGCCTACATATTTCCAAATGGCTAATTTTAAGAGTTGTTAGTAATAAGGGGCATTCAGTAAGGCATGAAACCCTATGTTAGCCATAGTCATCTCAAAATTGTCCTGTTTGGAAAGATTTTGCCTCAATCTACAAGAATACTTTGGACAACACAATCTATGATTGTTGACAAGAATCTTTTGAACAGGTTGGGTTAATCATTTTCTCCTAAGTAGACAAAAATTCATGACAATCCAAGATAACAAAATCATAGAAACCTAATCAAATTTCTCAATTATTTCCCTCACCATCCTCTCTTAAGCTAATAATGGCACATTCCTTTCGGCAATCAACATTTTTGCTGCTAAAGCAGAAACATCATAAATTCTATAATTGCGTCTTAATCAAAATTTTATCTCATAATCAAGAGAAGTGATTAACCATAAAAGCTCAAGTATAAAAAAAACCTCCAACCATATCATAAAATTTTCTTACTAGAACAAAATCTACGTACAATCTTATCAAATATCCAATTTTCCTTCTAATAAATCAACTAAAAAAGCACAATATTTCTGTAGTCAGGTGAGGATTTTCAGAACCTTCAATTACATTCATGAAGCACAACGTCTGTCCTAGCTTCTTTGATGAGCATTAAATACTAAATTTATTGATGTCAATTTTTTAGAAGTTAAGAGGTTGTTTGGGACCATTTTTGTTTTTAGTTTTTTTGTTTTTGAAAACAAAAAAAAAACAAAGAAAAAAACTGCGTTTGCTTATTTGTTTTTTGTTTTATTTTTTATTTTTTATTTTTTGGAGGAACAACTCGGTTTTTAAAATAGTCAAAATAGAAAAAATATGTTTTTGTCAATTTTTTAAAACACCAAAAACAGCAAATTCTCCCACCCGCCCCCGCCCACGTCGACCGACTACTGGCCTTCGCCCGCCCACAAGTAATGCTTCGTGTCGGGTGGAGTAAAGAACGCGTCACATATGCCATGAGCACCAAAGCTTAATACTGGAGCGCACGTAGACCTAACTGTTTTAGAAAAATTATAGTTTTTTTTAAGAAAAATAAAAAATACTCAACCAAACATGTTTTATATTTTTTGATTTAAAATATATAAATCATAACAATACCAAATGAGTTTCTAAAAATAGAATACAGAAAATAAAATAAAATAAAACAAGACAAAAAACAAAAATTAAAAAATGAAAAGTGATCCCAAATAGGCCCAATGCAAATTGACTTGGAATGTAACAATAATACTTTAGCTTTGACTCTTTGATGTGTTTTATCTAATGAATTGTATTGGACGATACCAATCTATGGAAAGGATTTTGTTCGGTGGGTTACTATAATGATACTCTCCTTTGGCTTTGTTGCTTCATGACTTGTATGGTGAACAAAATTTGTGACTATGATGGCGATTACATTCAAATATTCCTTATGTGGGCATGCCTGTTTTTTTTTTCCCCTTGTTTCGGGGGGTGTTGTGGTACTAGGTAATAAATATGACATTTTTTGTTAATTTGAGTAGCAACAACAACAAGCCTTTAGCCCACTAAGTGGGATCGGCTACATGACTCCTTTTTCTCCCTTGTGTTCTATTGAGTGTCATATTTTCATTTAATTCTAATAGATTAAGTTCATATTTTCATTTTTTGTTAATTTGAGTGACAATTTAAAATTTGGTGTTATCTATCCATATTCCTTGCAAGATGGGATTTTTTAGTGCCAAATATACATTCACTGAAATTTAAACTAAAATTAACTGCAAGAGAAAATCGATTTTTTTTTAATGTGTATAAATTCTTATGTAATAGATGCATTCAAGAAAAAAATTGGCTTAAGCAATATAAGTTTTGTTGAAAAAGAAATAAAAAGTAATTTATTGATGTATTTTAAATTCACAATTTGATGTATTTTTAATTTATTTGGAATTCATCATGTTTTGTAGAATTTTAAACATATTGCACACGTGAATCTTCAACAGCTACCCACACCCATTGTCACCTTTGTGGCTATAGCCACCAACCCGTCACCCACCTCCACAAACACTCCGTATAGCTCGCCACCCACCAATGATACTTACCATCCCAACTAGGTTTTACACTGAATTTATTTTACTGCAAGTCAAATACAAAAAACATTTATTTCGGTCAAAGAAAAAACTATAGTAAATATAATACATTTAATTTACACTACAATCATTTTACTCTGCATTTCCTTTCCAGTAAGCCTAGCCTCGTTAAGAAAAATTCATATTCCTTTCAAATTTCTTTATTCTCAGTCAAATGTTAGTTCCTTTGAGCACAGTAAAATCAACTATTAAATTCAAGTAAAGTCACCTTCTTATAAGTGACCCGTCCTGATTGACTTTTCTATTCACTAAATTCTTCTCTTGACTATTTTCTTGCACTTTTGTCTACATTCTTTGTGCTTGGTTTCTACAAGAGCTCCTGATTTTAATAAAATTTGTTACAGCCAATGTTTTAAAAAACGTGGGCGTTGAGCGGGGCGTTTAATCTGTTAGAAGGCGAGACGTAAGCCCACAGTATAAAAATAATAAGAAATATAAATATTAAGAGATAAAAAATAAACTATTTGTGATTAATAAAAAAATTTATTAAAAGACATTAAAAATTAAATGTGTTTTACACTAGCTACAGTGCAATTATTGTAAATACAATAAACTCACTGTAGCTACAGTAAAAAATCCATTAATAACTCACAAAATAATAAAAATCACATTTCATAAACTCACTGTAGCTACAGTAAAAAATTCATTAATAACTCACAAAATAATAAAAATCACATTTCTAATTACTTACAATCGGGCTACGGGAGAGAAGTAGACTTTGTGAGTTCGTTCTTCTGTCTGTCAGAGAAGAAGCCAGGGGATCTCATGCGCGTGGGACGCATGCGCATGGGACGAAACAGACAGGGGTCACATGCGTGAGAGAACGAAGCAGATTACGACATAGATTGTCGAGGGATCACCTGCGTGCGAAGGATGAGGCAGAAGACGTCATGCGCGTGGGACGAAACAGACAGGGGTCACATGCGTGCGAGAACGAAGCAGATGACGACATAGACTGTCGGGGGATCACCTGCGTGCGAAGGATGAGGCAGAAGACGGCATAGACAACGATGCATACCACTACATGCAATGTGACTGTGTGCGAAGGAGGAAGCAAAGGGCTAGGGGAAATTGTCTGCATGCGGAAGACGATTGAATCGGCGTGGATCAGGTAGGTTTGAAAAACTAGGAATTTTTTTCCTTTTTGTTTGATTATTAAGTGGGGCGTACGCCTGTGATGCTTAACTTAGCACCTGGGGCTTAGAAAGCGTTTGTCCTGCGAGTTTTGTGCCCCCGCCATGTAATTGGGGCAAAATGGCTTATGCCTCGCCCTGGGACGCGCCACGGGTGCACCCCCAATAACGCTTTTTAAACAGAGGTTACAACTTGCTTTCCAATTGCAGTTTGGGTTCTAATCAGCTTTTGAATTTTATGTCTTTTAAATTAGTTAGATTTTTTTTATGTGTGATAGTAAAATTGTCATTTGGCACATATTCTTAGTATTTTAAAGTTTCCGTCGACACATACTGAAAAATTTTTATTGGTTCTCTTTTGAGTTGTGAATTTTCAATCGAAGTTATGTATTTTCACTTATAGCATCATTTATTTGCATTTAAAAACCCAAAACCTAAAGCAACTTACATCACATGGTATAGCTTTTATAATTGACAACTCTAATAGGTGAGGCATTTGCTTAAATAAGTGGAAAATAAGTATAATGAATAGATGTTTAAAACATAAAAATCCTAGAATTTAAAGAGCTAAGACTAAAAATATGACAAGAATAAAGTAAAACATGGTAACAAAAAGGATTGAGCATTTATAATCAACTATAACGGCAAATGAGGATGAAGAAAATACAACTTCTTATTAAGTCGAGGTAGCATGTTGCTATAGGATATCAAGTAGGTAAAAATTTAAACTTTATAGAGTCGCAATTAGATAGGCTATGTTACATAGATATGGGTGATGGGTGGTACAAAGTTCATTGAAGTTGAACATGACATATAAAAATGTTTAGATGAATAAATAGACAAAAAAAGAAAAAATTGAGGAATGATTATATTTCGAGGTTGGTTGGAGTAGCATGTATTAATGATGAGTTAATTGAAAATAGACGTATATGGCTTAGACATATACTAAAAAGAATAAATAAGACTAGGAAGGATGATCATGACAAATAGTAGACAAGATAACATGGATATAACTCATTCAAAGATTGGTGAAAATAAAATGTAAGAACTCTAGCAGCACTAGGCAAGAAAAAATTGAAGTAGAATTTATAAAGCCAACCCAAAAAAGTTAAGGATAGGCTATGATGATGAACGCCATAAGCATAGCTTTGCTAAGATGACCTAACTAAAAAACGGCTAAAAGTTTAAATTAATGAGGAATCACATCATGAGGCAAGTGATGTCCGATATCACTTTTTTCCCTTTAAATAAAAACTTATGTTCACAAGAAAAAGGCTTATACAGCATATATTGCAGCGCTGCATTCCAGTTAAAAGTCCAAATGAAGAACCTAAGGATGCAATAAGGCAATTAAAAGTTCTGCAACATAAGACTTTTCTCGTGTAATTATTAGTCAACCTAGTACCTTAGGAAATTTGAAAACAAATAGCCTAAAAATTAAATTTCAAATTTATATGGAAGCTTCATCTTACATGTCAAGAACAAGATTATGTGCCAAAAAATCAAGCACAACTCTGATGATATTAGAGATTAGTGAAAAATATACTTGCCTTCCCTCCAAAGAAGCAATGATGTATTCCCTGTTAAGCAAAAAATCCATTAGCTTGTCAGATTGATGCATCTCTTCTAGTAGGATAAATCCCCTCGTACAAAACTCACGCGATATAGTAGGGCAGATAAAAGCTAAACATGGCAGTCCAAGATGCTCTTGTACAAAATGCTTAAGCGTGAAAGCTGATAGGTTTTTCTCCAAGTTATCAATTCTGCAGAAGTAGTATGTTCTTTTCTTTTCAAAATGTTGATATTTCTGAATTAACTGCCCTCCCATATCAAAATCCTCTTCGAAGTTGCCACTCATGCTTTCACTAGAAGATCTTCCTATAAAGAGAAGGGTTAATAAAGTAACAAAATAGATTAAAAAAGATAACTTCATGTGCTGCAGAATATTTGTGAGCAGAGAATATATACCTTTATCGGGCTTTAGAGTCCCTTCTAGTTTAGAAGCTTCTATATTCTACAAAGATAACACAATCTTCATTACATATAGCTCTTTAATTTTTAGTTTAGATAAAAGAAACGTTTCTACGTAGGCAGAGCATGAAAGAGTTCTCCAAGGTGTGTTCCAATGATGACATAAAAATAGGGGTGAAAAATCTTAGAATGTTGTCACCTTTACTTTGGATGAAAAATTTAGTTAAAATAAAGAAAAAATGCAACTATGAAAGGATTAAACTATATAACCTCAACGGATGAGAAGAACAAATGTACACAGTGAATGCGAGCCAAAAAAGCCTTGGAAAACGAGAGACTAAGCCTTATGAAGGAATCATAAACAAATGTGAATTTAAAAAATTTAAATTAAAAAGGGCAAATATTAGCGGATTAAACTACGAATTCATTTCAAAGCATTGGACTAAGAAACAGACATATACTAAAAAAATGCAAGCCAATAAAAAAACCTTGACAAATGTAACAAGAGTCTTAACTAAGATGTTTTTAAAGTTTGCAAGCCAAAAAAAATCTAAAATCTGGGATGGGAATGATAAGAGTACTTGTAATTGGTATTCGTGGAGCCTCTTTACAAAAGCTTCTCGATTTTGATTCCCAAAATTATATGAAGTTATGAAACTTTACTCACAGTAAGAAGAAGCATGTAGGGAGCCGAAGAATGCAATTACAAAAATGTCAGGTTTCATCTCTTAATGACCACTTAGACGAAATTATAGTATAAGAGTATTTTAGGAATTAAAAGATTTCCTAATCAGGAACCAAAGTGTAATTATTTTAAAAACATGAACCAACGTAAAGCACAATCGATGCCTTAAGAACCTACGTATCAATAAGGATAGTATGCTCAAGGTTCTATGTATGACCACCAATTTTTTTAATCCATTGATTAAAAAAAAGTCTGAACAATGAATTAAATTATTGTCTCATCGAAAATAATGGGTCGGATCACTGTTTTTTTTTTTTTTTAAGTATCTATTATGATAATGAAATTAGCTACTCAAAATCTGAATGTGGGTGCTAGTTGATTCCAACAACCAGCGTCCACATTCAAACTTTACGTGACAATAGTCATTGCTTTAGTAACAATATTCAAATCAGCTGCAATCAGATTCATTATTTCAGTCACCACATCCAAAACAGCAAAAATTAGCTTCAAAGTTTGTACTAAAAATTATTTTTCCAATTCAATGGAATAAAAACTTGCCGTCAACCATAGGACCATAGATATGAGTTCAATAAAAAAATTTAGATGCGGTGTAATTATCACAAGAAAAATATTCTTGTATTCTAGTTTTTTCTCTTTGTTCGGAATTAAAAAGAAAATGGAATCAAGCATAATGAAAACATAACATGCCACATTCATTCATTTTCTAATGTTTTGAGGTGAGCACTCACCTCCAAGAGGGACAAATCATATTATATGAAAGCATTCTTCATCTAGTACATGGTTAACAACTATTCTAAGATGTTAATGACAATAAAAGTGTTTTAGAAATTAACAACCTCACAACAACCTAATCACTAAACAAACCATCTTTACATTTAAAAAGAATAGTTTAACATCAAAACTTTCAAGCTAAAACAATTGCTTTAATCACACAGCTTCAAAATCGAACTTATGTGATATGGTATAAGAATATAAATGGCTTTCTAGATAGCAACAACCACCCTAATCATCATCATTATCCTTATCCTGACCACTCAGAGTCAGCATTACAAATCCTCATTTTTCATAGTTCTTGTTGATCATTGCATAATGCATTAAGCTATCTTTTTCTCACTCTTTTTGCTTTTCTAGCCATATCAATATTTATCTATGATTTTTCTTACAATATTTTCATTACTTTTATATATTCATCTTTTTAGCTCATTCTAATCATCTTCAAAAACACTCAAACTATGTAAGTTTATTTATCGTCATCTTAACTTCAATAGAAGTAACATCCTTAATCCCTTTAATATAATCATTTATCGCTCAACATTTCCTATTTTTACCACATATTCACTATAACATTCTCAATTATGCCACAGTTAACTTAATTATCAATAACTTCTTGATCATTTAACAAACAAATTGATACACAATCAAATAAACTGCAATTTTTAAAATGTATGATACTTGTAATCTAATATATTATGGGAAAGAGGGAAAAAAAATAGTAAAGTGGGTGACTTATGACAATGCCCCATTTTAAAATGGGGTTCTCACTTAATTTTGAGATTTTAGAAATTATAAAAAGAAGGAAAACATCTCACTCAAGCATTTTAAATTTAACAAGTAAGGAAATTAATCTATCCGAGAAGAAAAATAAATTCAAAATAGAGCCAAAAAATAGTGGTCGCTCATGTATGGTTGAACAAATGAGTCTTTTAAATTATTTTTAAAATAATAGAATCGAAATTTGAAGAGATTATTATTATAATCTCTTCAAATTATTATTTTTTTCATTTATTGATTCATTTAAGTATTGATAAAAAAAAGAATAAAATAGATTCTACATATTTGCATTTAAAAGTATAGATTTGTAATTTATGAAGGGATTTACATAAATACCACATAGTTCTTATGAATTTACATATCTACCACTCAAACTTTGATATTAACTTCTATAACAGTTTGGCATCCCAATCTCATCAAAATTTGTATATGAAAAAGCATATTTCACTTAAAAAAAATTAGTATTAGTGATATTTTTATGTGATATTAAAAATTTGGGTATTATATAATTATCAAAGTTCAGGTTTGGATATGTAAATACATAAGAATTGCATGGTATGTAAATTTCAATATTAAATATAAATTTATAAGGATATTTTATAATTATTTTTTATTTCAGATATTTTTTTAAGGATTACTCTTATTTTGTTAAGACGAAAATGTGCATTTTAATGACTTCTACAATAATGAAATCATGGATTATATGTAAATGAGATGAACGCCAAGATTCAGTAGGAGTTACATGTGTGATTGAATATTATTTCAGGGGATGGCTCATCAAAAATATATTTTATTAGCCCAGCATGGCAGCATCATAGGGTTTTTTCCTTGTTGCATAATACAGTTAGGCACTTACCATCCTAAACATCCTAACCATCTTAACTTAAAAAGATATATCATCATCATCTATATACAAATGTACATAATGCATATACCTACATGAAAACAGATATAATGAAAATTTTGCTGTGCTAACAAGAAAATCACTTCTGAATGATTCTAAGTATAAATAGAACTAACAACAATACATTAGCTAATATGAATGCCTTAACAATGATGCCAAATAATTTTGGTGTTCATTAAAGAAAAACATATATTACCATGAAGCTGCAAAAATCTCGTCGATGCTTCTTTGATTTGTGTAAGGTTGTAGTGCTTGAGATTTGATTAGTAGAAATGAAATTTGTGCTTGAAGAGAGACCATGTCGGCTTTCTAGTTTAGATTTTTGCGTTAGTTCCGATGAACAAGAGTCAAGGTTTGGGTCACTTCGGTTGCTTTTTACCTTCTTAAGTTTATCTTTCATAATATCCACAAATTTGTCCAATGTTGGGTTAACAATTACATCATGAGATTTTATGAGGCACACATTTTCAATACCAAGAACACTTTTTTTTCCTTTTAGAGGACCATGTTGCCATAACAACTCAAATTTGCATCGACATTCTCCCTCTTGCAAAGCATGTATCGAAGGATTTACCTGTATCACACCAGTTGAACATAGAAGTGACATTGAAAAAGTTGGGCTAACATTAATAAAAAAATATTCTAATGTGATAAATTTTATGCAAAAATAAAAAGCTGAAAAAAAAAAAAGTAAAAACTTCATAAAGGTGAGGGGAAGAGGGAGAAGTGGGCAGTAGAAGAGTTGAAAAATATATAAGTTAGAGCAGAAATTCATGAGCCCTTAATCAACAAAAAAAAAAAAAAAAAAACAAATAAACAAAACAAAACAACCAAACTAGATGCAGCATTTTAAGCTCTCATCAAAATCTTTCATCAATACTTATCTTTGTGGATCAGGAAGGGGGGTTAAAGAAGCATCAAGAGACATTGACTAACAGCACCACTCAACACGGCTGGCTACATCAAACTGCAATAATCCAACCAAACCAAGACGGGAATTGGCTAAATTACACCATGATTGCAAATCACAAGAGAATATAAGCAAGTGTAAGTCAAATAGAAAAGAATGGATAAAGAATAAACAAATGACAGACAAAACCAAAGAATAAAATATTGTTAGAGATTCATTTTCTATGGTTTCTAATGTTATCCTAGATAGCAAGAAAGATCATTAGAGTGGAGAAACTAGTTCGGAGTGGCCAGTAAGTGTTCAAGTGCACAGACTTAAGCATATCAAATCAGAGTGTCCAAACAGAAGATTTATCTCTTTCACTAAGCAGAGAACAGTGGAATAAATAAACAGTGACACGAGAGAGAATGAAGCCTTCAAATAAGAGTTAACTTTCAACTGACAAGAAAGAAACGCCAGTGATTCAAGCAAAAGCCCATGAGGAAAATCCAACATGTCAAGGATGGGAAACTTTTGAACTATTTCTAGAAGATTATAAGGAGAGATTTGAGTATTAAATTTAGTTCAACAGTGCACCCATCAATAGATGGTCAGACCAGAGGGATGAACGACTATGTTAGAATTACCTTAGAATCCATGTGGTTAGAATCAACTTATGTGCTAGTTATATACACTGATGAACCTTAAGAATAAGTAAAGGCTAATTCTTCATGTGATCCCATGTATGACAAATATTTGATCACACTTCAATTACTCTGGATGCCAACTAATTTTTCAACAAGCACAACTTTAATAACGTCATGTCATTGAAAGTTTTCATAATGCACACCAGATTAATTCTCATGGTGGTCAATCAAATTATTCTTTTGTAACCTAATCTTTTTTCATGAATTGGCTTAGCAAACATTTATCTCTATAATAAATCTTTTTGCTTAATACAAAATTAATTCTTCATCAATTGTGTGATTTATTAAAATCCAATGTTCCTTGACCCTCTCTCAAAAACTTCGCCGACAAGAAAACATCTTCTGTAATATTGCACAGCTTTCCCCTGCATCTACAAAAGGAAACCATTTTAATCATCATTTTTAAGAGACAACATGAAATATTTCAAACAAGCTATCCTCATCTCACCAAACAAATAAGAAGACTCTTAATGCCTAGTTTCTCTCAATATTTGAATAGAAGAAAGAAACTCTCTTGAGACTGCGATAACAATTCTCTTGTCCCAGCTGGTACCAACAGGTAAAGATGCTCTCACTCCAAATAAATGGAAGTTGACCAAACAGGTTTTTTTTTTTCTCTATCTTAATTTATTATAATTAAAGACCAAACAGGTTTTTTTTTTTTTTCTCTATCTTAATTTATTATAATTAAAATGAAATATGACACTCAATATGACGCAACGGAGAAAAAGGATTCATGAGCCAACCCCACTTAGTGGGATAAAGGCTTGTTGTTCAATTAAAGCAAAACTGGGCAGCATTTTGGTCTGAGTTCACAAGATACTCTGTTGGTCTAAACTTTAGATTAAAAGAGAAGAAGGGTTTTGTTAATGTTGGATTTCAAGATGAAGGATAGAGATGAAGGAATGGGCAGCATTGGGTCGACTGTCACGATGTTATTTCGGTTGAAGGATGGAGTTCATTTTAAAACATGGCTTTTGCTTATGCTTTGGCAACCCCAACCTCTCCTGAGACATAATGATAAGTCAATTACGTTATAGCCTACAACTTGGTAACTGAATAACATAGCTCAGTTAGAGTTATGTCTAGGCTCCTACCTCGACTGCCACAACCTTTCCTAGGACCAAATGGAGAATAATCGACCTAGGTTCATGGAAATGGCCACGACGACCACAACTTTACATGGGATTGTATAAAATAACATGTTTTGGTTTATGGCGTCAACTTATACTTCGACAACCAAAGCTTCTCATGGGACCGAATAAAAGATTCAAATTAGGAATGTCACCAGAGCTTTTCTTTTTTAGATCACAGCATCACCCGAGACTGAAAGAAGGATTCTTTTAAGGGTCTTGACCTAACCGACCATAGCCACGCTTGGGACTAAGGAAGAGACCCACCTGGGGTTGTGTCCTAGGCTTTGTTCAGAAACAACAGCCTCACTTAGAACTAAATGAAGGATTCTCATTGGCATTGTGGTCTTGGTTTCTATCTCTGTAACCACAACCTTGCATGAGATTGAATACACTCCACGTTAGGGAATGGCTAAGGATTATGCCTCAAAGACTACAGTTCACCAAGGCTTTGAAGAACTTCCTTGAGATTATCCTTTTCGGCATTTCTCAAAATTATAGAACGAAAATTCACAGGAGTCTTGCAGCTGAATGAGGCAGTCCACTGGGGGTTGTCTTAGGATCTACCTCGAAAACCACAACCTCACTCAAAATAAATTAAGGCCCCGTTTGGGGCAGTTTATTGGGAGCGGCGGCGTTTTGAAAACGTCGCCTCCCTGTTTGTTAATTGCATTCGCACCGGCGTTAGCCTCCCGCACTGCGTCTGCGTTGGTTAATTCCTTTATGTCGTCTGATGTTGTCCGAGCCCCGCGTCCTGCGTTGCCCTAGGAATTCGAATTCCGGAGGTGCCCTCGATCTCGCTTGCCTCCTCCCTCATTGGTTTCCTTTCTAGTTCGTCTCCCTAGAGGAGATCGAATCTTCTTCCTTTCCAAATTTTCTTTCCTGATCATCAGGTATCCTTTCGATTACCCTGGCTGCGAGCCTTGGAATGCATTCTTTACTCTGATCTTCTTTCTGAGCAGTGTGATGCAGGAAATAAAAATTTTTATTTTTTTCGAGGGAAATATGATAACATTAAGGGTTTTTAGGTATTGCTCAGTTTAGATCTATGGCATGAGTTGTTTTGGGAATCCTGTGGCTTCTAGTATTTTCTCTGGTTTTTGGGTTTTATGCATGTTGAGATATATTTCATTTTCTATGCCCCGATATTTTGACATTTTAACTGGTTGTTGGATTTGGGTTGCTAGCTGCGATCCTGGAAACCTTCTTTTTCGCTAATCCTTTTTCTGAGATATGTACATACAAGAACCGTTTTTTTTTTTCTTTTTTATTTTTTTTTTGGTCTGAAATATGAGTCTATAAAATTTTTTACGCTATAGGCCAATTGAGATATGTGGTATTCGTTGTTTGATGGGAGGTATTGGCTCTGATTTTGGGCATCTATTTTGTGGCAAGATATTGTGCCTTTTTTTTTTGTTTTGGCTCTGTTTGTTTGATGGGAGGTATCGGCTCCGGTTCTAAGCAAATTGATGAAGTTTTATAATTGTTTAGCTGTTGTTTGTGTGGTGAAAATTTTGCAGGAATTTCTGTTATGCAGTAATTTGAAATAATCAATTCTTGATTTGGTTATACAATGAAGATTATAGCTTCGTTCATGAAAATGTATTACGAAATTGTTTATTCTTCTATGAAAGCATACTAGCGTGTAATTTTAATGATTCAAACATATATCTAACTCGTCATTGAGAGGATTTCATACTTTTATCTTGCTTTTTATGTTAAGAATGGCAATGGTTATAGGGTTTAAGGTTCATCTGCATATGCTTATATATGTGATAATGGTTATATCATTAGGGAGTTACTTGTTTTTCGTTTAGGGTTCATATGTATATGCGAGGTTTTGTTTTTAATATTATTAGATGCAAGAATGGTATTTTCATATTAGGTTTCATTCACCTTCACTCAAAATCGTGTTTTCTGCAATTGAATTTTTTTGGGATCAATTATAACTTTGATGCCTATATCGAGGGGTATTAAATTGGTGCTAAAGGCTTTCACCAATGGTTGGGAGCTGTATTGGTTCTTAGCAAACCTGCGAACTGAGAATGGATTTTTCATTTTGTTCAAATGTCTGTTTTACGGGTTCTTAGGCCTGCTATATGGGTTCAAATGTCTGTTTTATGTGTTCTTATGTCTGCTTTAACGATTTTTCGTATTGTTCAAATGCGAACTGAGAATGGATTTATGGGTTCTTATGTATGCTTTTGGTATATTGTTCAAATGCGGGATCAGAAAAGAGTGATCTGTCATTCGGTTTTTAGTAAATATCAAAAGAGGGGAAGAATGGAAACATGTTTGATTTTTATTTGTTAGTTTAGAAATTTTTATTATCACCAAAGAAAGAAATGGGAGGGAGAATTGCAAGTTGTATTGTTCTTCCTTTATAGTTATGTAACAGTATACAATTGCATAACAAAATATTTTCGATGTCTTACTGTGGATGTAGGTCATTGAACGAACCACATAATTGATTTGTCTTTATATATATATATATATATATATATATATTTCTGAGCAAATAGCTAGACTGTTGTTTGTATTGGTGGCAAATCTTTCAAAAGCCGAGTGAATGTGATTATTTGGAGACTGTTGTTGTTGTTGGGTTGTTGTTGTTGTTTTCTTGTGTTGTTGTTGGCTTAAGATTCAAAATTATGAGCACTTTGAATTTAAAAAATTTTTATTCTCACTTGTTGCCTATAGTTACATCATGTCTAAAACGGTTGAAGGGGGTCCGTCCGCAATGTGGGATAAAGACGTTACAAATATTTTTTGCGATTTGTGTATTAAAGAAATAAAATTGGAGAACAGACCAACAACGTATTTTAATAAGGTGATAAAACATTGC